TAGTAAAGTCTATGATGAATATCTCTCTTTGATGCCTACCTATACTATGGGACTCTGTCCCACACAAAATAATTAGTGGGGAAGCTACGCCCTCCTTGAGGTGTCTTTCCACAGCCACTAGGTAATCTGGGGGGGACAGGGAATTGCTGTACTCTGGTGGGGAGGTAAGGTAATTTCTCAGTGGCACTGCCTGAACAGTACTACTATGGATACCCAGCACCTAATCTAAGGTTAGGTTATAACTATCCTGAAGAGTTGATCTGGGCTTTGAAGTGGGGAGGTTGGGTCCTTAAACAGCAAAGTTAAGGTGTGTTTTGGGGATAAAGGTAAGTCTGGTTTTGTTAAGAGACAAGGCCCTCAATTGAATGTTGCAAGGAGGGTCAATGTAGCCCGTCTTGCCAGGGGCTGATTGGTTGTTCCCAAATCCCTTGAAGTCAGTGCATGGCTGTGTCAGTATGTGGCCTCTGTTCTAGACAGTGAAAAGGTTTCAGTTGTTAGTTGAAAGATTTTATTTTGAAACCATGTGATACATTCAGCTAAAATCTAACATTAAACCAAATTAATGAATGCTGGTGATTGGTCCCCAGGGAAAGGTGAGAGAGGTGGCAGCAAACTTGTTAGTATTATTTTCAGACTAGACAGATTGAACAGTCAGCTCTGATTGAAGAATAAGGATCGTCTTTCAATACAGTCTTAAGGGGAAAAGAATGCTACAAGGTTATCTTAATAATAAATATCTTGTATTTATGTAGTGTCTCTCTCCGAGATGTTGAAAGTACTTTGCAGACATGATCTCATTGCATAACATACTTATGAGGTAGGGAGGTTGCAAGTGGTATCACCTATTTACAGGTGAAATGATGAGTATCCATCTCATTCTTGAACTATTTCTGCTTTCCCCTCATTGCCTTCTCAGATTTTAAATTCAGTCCAGATGCTGCTTTTAAAAAATCCTTACCTTCTTTTTTGACCCAGGCATACTCTTCCTCAGAAGCTATTGTTGGCTTTCCATCCCCCTTCATATCAATCTCAATCTGCCTAAAAAGACTTTTAGAATCCTCTACCAATGTGCTGCTGTGTCCACTGCTTTCACAATGTCTTGCCACCATCTCATTCCGCATGGTGCTTAAGGAAGAAATTTGGGAAATTTGGGTTTCTGTTCATTCCCTTCTCCCTCACCAGGCATACCTTGACCAATTCCTATTTCACTAAGAGAATGCACATATACACTATAATCCAGGGATGGGGATTATATCCCCACGTGGGGATATAATCCTCAAGGCCCCACGTGGCCTTCTAGGCCCTTGGGTGTGGCCTTTTGACTGAGTCCAAGTTTTACAGAACACATCCTTTTATTAAGGGAATTTGTTCTGTGAAGTTTGGATTCAGTCAAAGGGCTGCACTTGAGGACCTAGAGGGACACATGGAGCCTCTAGGCCGCAGATTCCCTACCCCTGCTCTATGTAGTCATTCCCTTTATACCCCTCTATATCCATGATACCTTTTTTTTAACCTGGTTAGGCTGTGTGACCCTCGACAAGTAGCTTAACCGCTTAGCCTCACTTTCTTCATCTGTAAAATGTGGATAATAGCAGAACCTACTTTACAGGGTTATGAAGATCAAATGAGATAATATATTAAAATGCTTTGTAGACCTTAAAGCCCTATGCATAAATGCTAAATATTATTGCAACAAAGCATTGGAGTATGACATTAGTGATGGGACCTGTGGTGATGCTATAAAAAGAATTAATCTGGGTTCAAATCCCAGTTCTTCTGTGTGACATTGGTCACTTAACCTCTCTAGGCCACGGTTTCCTGATCTGTAAAATGAGGGGGTTGAATCTTTGTTCTGGACAAGTGGTGACATACACTTCCCTCTTCTGAGTAGAAAGGTGAAGAACTGCAGGGACGGATTATTTCATACATTGTTCTAACCCTGGTAGTTTTGTTGGGTTTGCTTTTTTTTTTTTACAAGGGAGGGTAGTTGGGAGGGTAGCAAGTATACTGGGAAATGGACTACTGTAAAAAAAAAAAAAAGATCAATAAAGCTCCTTTGAGAACAAGCTTGTTTTTGACATTTAGCCACACTATATTAAAATGGTAATGATAAAACTTGTTCAGTTGTTTCTGACTCTTCATGACCCCATTTGGGGTTTTCTTGGCAAAGATACTAGAATGGTTTGCCATTTCCTTCTCCAGCTCATTTTACAGATGAGGAAACTGAGGCAAACAGGGTTAAGTGACTTACCCAGGGTCATAGTGCTAGTGTCTAAAGCCTAATTTGAACTCAGGTCTTCCTGACTCCAGGCCAGGCACTTTATCTACTGGGCCACATGGCTGCCCCCTATAAAACTATAAAGAAATAATTTCTTGAAGAGTAGAAGACAATGTTACATAAGTATCACCTCACATTTTCAGTTGTTTCAGTCACATCCAACTCTTTGTGACCCTGTTTGGGGTTTTCTTGGCAAAGATACTAGAGTGGTTTGCCATTTCCTTCTACAAGTCATTTTATAGATGAGGAAACTAAGACAAATAGGGTTAAATGACTTGCCCAGGGTCACACAGCAAATAAGTATTTGAGGTCAGATTTGAACTCAGAAAAATGAGTCTTCCTTACTCTAGACCTGGCAGTCTATCCACTGTGCCATCTAACTGCTCATTTTAAGACCTAGGAATCTAGTATAGTGGTGCTACAGCTAAATTAATGACTATACAATTAAATTAAATGTATTGTAATACATTGTAAATTAATGTTGTACAGTCTATACTGAACAAGCCTGAAGTAAAACCACCTCTTCAGTAGTTTTCCTTCTTGTAATATGGGAAAGACCTCTCTAGTATCTGCTCCTATAGTGATGCCTTATTTATCTAGCATTGCTAGATAAATATATTTATTTATATACATATTATAATTTATAGATATAATATATTTATGATTATACTTATATTTATCTATACCTACGTAGAAAAATATAATAAACTTCCACATACGTGATTTTTCTAGGTAACTGAAACTTCTCACTTTAAGCCAGAAAACAAATTTTAACCGTTTTAGAGGAAAATCTCTAAAATAAGAGTCTACAATTTCTCTACCTTCTTTTTTTTTTTTAGTTAGGCAATCGGGGTTAAGTGACTTGCCCAAGGTCACACAGCTAGTACGTGTCAGGTGTTTGGCCTGAGGCCGAATTTGAACTCAGGTCCTCCTGACTTCAGGGTGCTCTATCCACTGCGCCGCCTAGCTGCCCCAATTTCCCTATCTTCTTAAAAGAGTATACATGGAACTCAAAAAGTCTCATGATGAGAAATGCTATCCACATCCAGAGAAAGAACTGTAGAGTCTGAATGCAGATCGAAGCATACCCTTTGCTCTTTTTTTTTGTTTGTTTTTTCTTTCTTGTGGTTCCTCCCATTCGTTCTAATTCTTCTTTACAACATGACTAATGTGAAAATACATTTAATAAGAATGTATATGTGGAGCCTACATCAGATTGCACGCCGTCTTGGTGAGGAGAAAGGGAAGTGGGGTAGAGAAAATTTAAAACTCAAAAGCTTATGGAAGTGAGTGTTGAAAACAAAAAATTAATTAGATACAAAAAAGAGTGTACATGGAGTATTGTTTCTTTCTCCTTAACTTAAGATCATCTTAATGAGCATTGTAGGATCACAGACCTACAGCTGAAAAAGACCCCTCAGACACCATCTAGTCTCTAATCTTTTTATTTTATAAATGAGGAAGTTGAGGCACTGAGAGGTTGTGACTTATAATACCATAATGACCTCAGGGTCTTGAGGCATCCTTGTAGGGATTACTTTACCCCCATATTAAATGGCTTCAACATACCATACATTTAATTCTTATACCTATATTTATGGTTTATATCTTCTCAGTCAGGCTATCTGTTGTCACCACCTTCTAATTTGCTGCCTGTCTTCTGTATGCTAGGGAAACCAGATGATTGTAGCTTGTGGGAATTGTATATAAATTAGAGTGAGCTCTTCCCTCATGAAATAAAGTTGCATAGAATTTGATGGCTATTTCAACAATTCACAGACTTTTTAGTTTACTCTCTTTATAACTATGTTAGGAGGGCTGAAATTACTACATATCTGACTCCCATCAAAGTGGAGTGTACATACTGTCATACATTATCAAAGTTAAAACAAATTTTATTATGTGATGTGAATATTCTATGCTGAATCTCCTCTTCATTAATGTGAATGATCAAGAGTTGACTTTTAAAAATAAGATTGCCTAGGGATTATGTAGTATCTATCTTCTAAAGAACACAAAGGCGTTTCAAATATATAGCCACATGTGTCATCATGATACACCCATAAAGTGGCAGGTCTTAAGGTTTCGCATTTCACACCCGGAAATACAGAGAGAGAAAAGCATTGGTTATCTTTTCCAAGCACCAGTTATTTAGACACAAATCTTTTGACTCTGAGAATTCTGTTATTTCCACTAGCTTTTGTGCCATTAAGTTTATAAATTCAGATGCGTCCCAGCCAAAAAGTAGGATTTACATTGCCTTTGAGGAGTTGGGTACAAGGGTAATTTGTTGTGGTTTATTGTAGTATTAAAATAATGTACACATGTGTAAATAGGTATGTTGTAATTTGTGTAGTCAGGTGTGTTTATTGAGAAGTATCTAAATATAGTCCAAAGAGCACTGAATTTGGAGTCAGAAGGCCCCAATCTTGCTCTTTGTGTAACATGGACCTCACAGTGTGTGGGAAGAAAGTGCCTCCTAATTCTTAAAGCCTTCCTTAAATTTTTAGTAAGTTGTTATTATTGTATGCGTTCACTATAATTATATTTAGGATGGAACTCAAAATAGCCTAAGCACAGCAGAAGGTGAAGGTTGAGACAGTCACAGTGCCAAAACCAGGGCAGAGCCAGGAATTAAATCTCATTAAAAGGGCTTTGTAAAAAGATGACATCAGACTTAACATTTCTCACTGATTCATATTTGCTTTTCCTTTTGTTCCAGGAGATGGCGATAAGAGCACTCAAACAAACAGGTAGTAAAAACATTGAAGCTGCTCTGGAATACATTAGTAAAATGGGTTATGTGGACCCGAGAAATGAGCAAATTGTGCGGGTCATTAAGCAGACCTCCTCAGGTGAGCACAGACCTCTTGTATTTTATCTGAAGAAAATAACTGTGTTTTAAATATGGGGTTGCTTTGGGGGCAAAGGGAGCCAAATCTATCCATCATCAATGGATTTTTAAATATTTTTATTACTTGTTTTTCTGAAATTGACAAGTACTAACATGAACATTCCCATATGCAAAGAACAAAAAAAAAAGAATTGCATATATAAACCAAATCTTCATTACATCCTGCTTGTTTCATTTTTTTAAAAAAACAACATAAATTTAATATATTAGTTTCAAAGCTGTTCTGCTTGTCTTTGCCTTCCTTGTGAACCTCCTCTGTTCATTCTTTTCAGTGCTTCATTGACATTCTTTATTTTCTTTTTCTTTTTTTTCTTTTTTGCACCACTTGTTCTTTATTAAACCCTCCCTTGTAACAAATAAGCGTGGTCAAGCAAAATGAATTCACACCTTTCTCATAACCAAAAATGTATGTCTCATTATCAGTCTGTTATCCATCACCTGTCTTAGGAGATGAGAGGCGAGGCGTGCTTAATCAGTCCTCTGGAGTCATGATTAGTCATTGAATTGGCCAGAACGCTCAAGTCTTTCCACGCTGTTTTTCTTTAAATCTTTCAGGGTTTCTCTGACTATCCCCAATGCCCTTTTTTAAGGCACGATAATGATCCACTACATTCATATACCGTAATTTCTTTGACTATTCCCTAATTAATGGGCACTCCTTAGTTTCTGATTCTTTGATACAACAAAATGGTCTTCTATGAATATTCTTGCACTTATGGGTTCTTTTCCTCTTTTCATCTCTTTGGCTTATACGTCTAGGAGTATGCTCGTAAATGCATAGTGGGGTGTGAGTGGAATGTGTGCACACATTTTTAAGTTTAATCTACATTAATACTTTCTTAAGTACAGACAATCAGAAAAATAATCAAGTCCTGATTTGTAGCATTGTTGATTTCTGCGTTTTAAATAAATGCTTACTCTGAAAACTTAACAGTAGGCTCTTGGAACCATGTTCAGCTGACTCCAGGATGCCCTGTATATTCCTGGTAGTGGTATTGCTTGGATCCAGGGGTATTCATAGTTTATTGACTTTTTGGTTAAAGTTCCAAATTGCTTTCCAGAATGTGGATCAGTTTTCAGCTCCACCAAGTGTTTGCCTGTCCTCTCGTAGCCCCTCTAACAGTTAGTTGTTTTTTGCCTTTTTTTTTTCATCTTTGTCAATGTCATTTTTCTTCATTTTCTCTTATATTAGAAGGTAGCTAAGTGGCATAGTGGATAGAGATGGATTCATGAAAACCTGAATTCAAATCCTGCTGTAGACATTTACTAATTTTGTGACCCTGGGAACACTTTTTTGTGCCTCAGTTTCTTCATCTGTAAAATGGATAATAATAGCACCTACCTTACAGTGGTTTTGTGAGGGTCAAATCCAATGAGATAACATGTGTAAAGTACTTTATAAACTTTAAAGCGCTATATAAATTCTAGCTATTATTAGTGATTTGGAGGATTTTTTTCAAATGGTTGTTGATAGCTTCCTTTTCTTTTGAGAATGGCCTGTTCATATACTTTCACCATTTATTTTTGGGGGGAATTGCTCCTATTCTTATATATTTGAATCAGTTCCCTATATATCTTGGATATAGAGTGTAGAACTTAGTGGGAAGATTTTTTTCTCCCAGTTTGCCCTCTTAATTTTAACTGCATTGATTATGTTTGGGCAAAAACTTTTTGAATTTTCTGTAATAAAAATTGCACATTTTATCCCCTGTTATCTTCTCTATCTTTTGTTTGGTTATAAACTCTTCTTCTCTCCATAGATATGAACTGCTCTGCTCCTCTGATTTGTTTGTGACTATCCATAGTTGAGGGATTTTCCATGGCAGATCACCAGAGATCATTTTACAGTCCCAAATTTATTTAGATAATGGATATATTATGGGTATACTACCGTCCTAACAGGGTTATTAACATGGAAAAAAGCAAAATACATCCCAGTCCTCAGCCTCTCAGCTAAAGTGACCTACTTCAGACCATCTCCAGTCATCCTGATCTATATCTGGCCATTGGACCCAGATGGCTCCAGAGGAGGAAGTGAGGCTGGTGACTTTGCACAGCCATCCCTCAATTAAATCCAATTTACTTGAAAGTCATGGCATCACCTCTTCATGTTATGTCCTCTTCAAGAAAGAAGAACAAACTGCAACAATAACAAAATGGCCTACTCATACAAAATAAAAATGGCGGAGTGTACCTGTATTCTTTCTTTATAGAAAGAATAAGAAATTCTAGAAATATTTTAAATCATGTAGTGATGGGAAAAAAAGTACTGGATTTGGAATTGGAAGACTGCTGTCACTTCGGGTTGTAAAGCCTCAGACTGCTCTGTTCTGCTTCAGAATATTTAGTCCTTATAGGTTTATTTGTTTTAGCTGTGTCAAATTTTTCCCCTTCAATGTCTTGATTAGTACTTTTACTAATCAAGTACCAATTAGCACTTAACTGGTAGTTCTCTATCACCTGGCATTGCATACCAAAAGTATCTACCCATGAGGTCTCTGCCAAGGCAATGGGAGGACCTGGTTTTTCTTTATTTCAAGGCAGGGGCACCAGAAATACCCTCCTTTGGAGAAGAGGTGATGCTTAATTAGTTCTCCCTCATCTGCTTAAGAATGCAATGCTCTTTTAAACTTCTCAAGTGCAGATTTGAGGCAAAAAATGACATTTTTCCAAATATCTTAGTTATCACCATGCATAAAAGAAGGGTAGTTACAGGTAGTGCTACTTCCAGGGCTTCAAACAGAGGCAGGTTGGTGTTAGACATTCCTCCTTTCCTCTCTATGTGCCTTGATGTCTCCTTCACATAGTCTTCAGCCTAGTTCTTCATTGCCATTTCTTGATCTTTTCTCCTCCTGTGCTTTTCTAGGGGAGAAGCAGGAGAAATAAATGCACATTGGCACCTCTCTGGCCTTCCCCTTCTTGATGCAACGTGATGGAAAGTAGTGGGTCTTTTGTCTCTGTTTTCAAGGAAGGTTCATCACTGAAGAACCAGAGGGGTTGTTAGATCTTCTTCTTATGTGGTGGGGGTTGCATCCAAAAGCTAGAGAACCAAAATAAAAATAAAAACCAGAGAAACTTCACCCTTTTGGGTTGAACAGATAGCTCCTAATGCAGTGTCTCTGTTCTTTCTTTTCAGGAAAAGGAAGTGTGCCAAATAATGTAACTCGAAGGCCAAGCTTTGAAGGAACAAGTGAATCTTTTCCATCCTATCACATCAGTAGTGCAGCCTATGAAGGGACAGGCTTTGGAGTAGAAGGGGCAAACATGCTGAGTGATGTGCCCAGGCAGTACATGGATTATCTGCTCTCTGCTCCTCAGCCTTCAGCTCTGACTCCTACAGGACCGAGGCCTCTTGGGGTCAGCCCTCATAACGCCCCTGGTAGCCATCAGCACCAGTCCAAAGCGTATTCTGCAAATTTGGAGGCTCCAGGCATTAATTATCCAGTTGCTAATCACAGCAGCCAGGCCCTGCAGCTCCAGCCCTCTCACGGTTCAAACGGCCCACACTATGGTAGGCCACACATGACAGTACAGGGAGAACCAATGGGGTATGGCATCCAGAGAAGCCCTTCTTTTCAAAACAAGATACAACAAGAGGGAGGGTATGCAAATCTTCCAAGTAAAGGGCAAGTGGTCCAGAATAACTCTGGTCACACATTTCAGCCAGCAGCAACAAGTCTGTACATGACACATTCTCATCATAAGCAGAGCAGCCCCTCCTCTCACCAGATGCACATGATGGCTGCCCGGAATCCAGCATTTGCTAATGACTTTTCAGACAACCCACCGCAGAGTCTCATCACCCCATCTAGAAACAGCCTGAACATGGACTTATATGACATGAACAACCCTGCAGTTCAGGGATGGCAGTCATCTACTCTGTCACGGCGGGATTCTTTACAAAACCCAAGCCTGGAGGCTTCTCCTCGACCTCACGTCTCATTCCGGCCTGACGGCCACGTGCCAAGCAGAACTAATTCATTCAACAACCACCAACAGCCACCAGTAGCTGTGTCCATTAGGACAGGACCTGCCAGCAAAACGGATGCCTCTATCCCTTCCCCCAATACTATCACAGCTGTCACATCTGCCCACATCCTGCATCCGGTGAAGAGTGTAAGAGTCATGAGGCCAGAGCCTCAGACAGCTGTAGGTCCATCTCACCCCGCCTGGCTTCCCCCAAAGACACCAGCTGTGGAAGGTTTAGAAATGATGGAGCAGCATCCTCTCCCAAAAGGAAGTCCAAATGCTTACCCACTGGATGTTGATTATGGCACTCAGGAGCCAAGGTGCCCACCACCTCCATATCCCAAGCATTTGCTCCTTCCAAATAGTTCTGAGCAGTTTGACATAAATAGCCTTTGTGTGGGGGTGGAACAGAGCCTTCGAGGGGTTCCTAACTCAGTAAGCAGTCAGGCTGAGGACAGTGTTGAGAGAAATGACAAAAGCGGCAAGAATTCCAAGGTGGAAAAGCCAGGGAAGGATATAAAGCAAATCCAAACTTCTCCTGTCCCTGTTCGTAAGAACAGCAAAGATGAAGAGAAGAGAGAATCTCGAATTAAGAGTTACTCTCCTTTTGCTTTTAAGTTCTATATGGAGCAGCATGTGGAGAATGTCTTAAAAACCTACCAGCAGAAAATTAACAGACGATTGCAATTGGAGCAAGAAATGGCTAAAGTAATTTCTTTTTATACCTATCTATGTACATACACACACACATATCCTTAATGTCAGCAATAATAGGCCAGGACCATGGAGGTCAAGGAACTGGAAATGTGTCTGACACATGTCATGAAACATGGCCTTAGTGGGGATAAATAGCAGTCTTCAAGTATTTGAAGGGCTGCCATCTGGAAAGAAAATTCAAACTTTTTCTGCCTGGCCCCAGAGAACAGAATTAGGGACCCCAGGTGGAAGCTTCACAGAGCCACATTTAGGTTCGATGTCAAGAAAAGTTTCCTAACAGAGCTATCTAAAAATGGAAAGCACTATCCCAAGAAATAGTGAGTCTTTTAGCAAAGGCCAGATGAAGTGTTGGGAATGTTTTAATATAGAGAGAGTTGCATTGTTTTCTTAAGGTAACAGGATGGATAATACCACTGAAGTATTTTTTTAATGTTTCAAGGGATCAAGAAAGTAAGGTTTGTGGCTGACTTAGAAGTTTAGAAAGTTAGAAAAATGATAATATATATTATATACCCAATATTGGTGTGTGTCATTCACATACGGTCTCAATAAATCATGCTTTTAAGTATAATTTACCAGCTGATGCTAAGAGACTCTGGAAAGTTATCATTCATTAAAAAATTCTGCCCTTTATAATTAGCAAAAACTCTGCTGCGCCAGGAATCTGGCAGCTTCATTGTTCCCTGACCTATTATCACATTAAAGAGAGTTTTCAGGTATTTCATGGCACAATTCCCATAGACTTCTGTTTTAACGCAGTCATTTCAGGAGTTTTCCTTGGTTTTAGAGATTCTCTAAACAAATATGAGAAAGAATTTAATGTTTCTCTTGTCTTTTGAATTCTAAAATCTCTGCAGTGTTAGGCTGGGGCCCAATATATAAAGGAAAAAAATAAGCCAATCATTATCATCTTCCTTAGAGTGAACAGGACTTAATTTTTTGTATCACTAATCAAAGCCTGACTTCTGGTGTATGCTCAGTTTGTCACTATACTTCATGTCCTGTTTCTTAGGTCCTTTAATATGATTCTCTCATTGTTTGTTCCCTGCCAAAGGCTGGTCTCTGTGAAGCTGAACAGGAACAAATGAGGAAGATTCTGTACCAGAAGGAGTCTAACTACAACAGGCTGAAGAGGGCCAAAATGGACAAATCTATGTTTGTGAAAATTAAAACCCTAGGTATTGGTGCTTTTGGAGAAGTTTGCCTTGCTTTCAAAGTAGATACTCATGCCCTGTACGCCATGAAAACCCTGAGGAAGAAGGATGTTCTGAATCGTAACCAGGTGGCTCATGTCAAAGCAGAAAGGGATATCTTGGCAGAGGCAGACAACGAGTGGGTGGTTAAACTCTACTACTCTTTCCAAGACAAAGACAACCTGTATTTTGTGATGGACTACATCCCTGGTGGGGACATGATGAGCCTGCTTATAAGGATGGAAGTCTTTCCTGAGCACCTGGCCAGATTTTACATTGCAGAGTTGACTTTAGCCATAGAGAGTGTCCATAAGATGGGATTTATTCACAGAGACATCAAACCAGATAACATTTTGATAGATCATGATGGTCACATCAAACTGACTGATTTTGGACTCTGCACTGGATTCAGATGGACTCACAATTCCAAATACTACCAGAAAGGTATTGTGTTTACTCATATTGTGGGTTAAGTGTTCTAGGTCAGGGGTTCTTAATCTGGGGTTTGTGAGCTCGTGGGTTTTTTAAAAGTATTTTATAACTGTATTGTGATCTTATGTATTTTATTTTAAAACATTCCAAGGAGTCCATAGGCTTTATCAGACTACCAAGGGTACATGGTGGGGAGGGAAGACTAGGGACAGACAGTCCATGACAAAAAAAAGGTTTAATAACTCCTGATTTAAACCATCATTGTGACTCTTGAATTTTGACTGTTTTGGAATCCCAACACTCTATTTTTGTTTATGTATTTCTGTCCTTCACTCCCTAAAAGTGCTGCCTGCTGTGTAATATTGGTTTGCTATTTTTCAGTTAAAGTGAGTTATTTCTTATTTTTTTGAGAATTTTATAATGCCCACATCCTTATTAAAGATACCTTAACGATATATTGCAGAGGCTAAGCTGGAAACTGCCAATCTAGCTTGTCTTCAAAGAGCTCTAAGAACAAAAGTTCTGCAAGAATCATGAAAATACTTTGAAATCAATTCACTGAAATCTCTTTTTCTGCTTTAATTTTTGTCTCCTCTTTGGCTATTGTACTTTTTTTTTGGTATGTCCCAAGATCATGTTATCATTTAAATAAACAATGAGAAAATCCTACCCTAATATCTTATTATGGCATGGAGGTGATCCTGCACCCTCAAAGGCTGTGTCAGGGCAGTACACGTTCCAGCAGGCCCCAACAAAATTGGTAAGACTCCAGATATAAGCTTGATGATGGATTGTGCATCTGTCATTGAAGAACAAGGCTAGTCGGTGTCACCAGAAAGTATCACTACCTTCTGGTAGGATCACCAGAAGATTGCCTGTAGGTGATAAGGTTTTGGCCATAACAACTCATGATGGCATCTACCAAAGCCCCATCTCTTGAAGTTGAAGCATTGAAGATAATAGGTAGTTAAATCTATGCAACCAGTGGTTTACTATGATTCCTTGTCTTCTTTTCCACTTATAGCTCTGTCTAACTAATCATGTTCTTCTTATATTGATTTAATTTAACTTTAAGCCTTAAGTTTACTACTGCATTTATCAAGGCTGTTTTAAACCCCCTTCTTGTTTTATGCTGTTCATATCAGGTTGATTAAAAAAAATTTTTTCCCCTTGTTTTTCCTGGGCAAAAGGGAGTCACATCAGACAGGACAGCATGGAACCTAGTGACCTCTGGGATGACGTATCAAATTGTCGATGTGGAGACAGGCTAAAGACCCTAGAGCAAAGAGCTAAAAAGCAGCATCAGAGATGTTTGGCGCATTCACTTGTTGGAACTCCAAACTACATTGCCCCTGAAGTTCTCCTTCGTAAAGGTATAAACTTGAGAATTTCCTTTGCCTTGAATGTTCAGAAACTTTACTGGTTGGTGGGTAGGCCTGGCACTTAATGTTGATTGTTCTTCGAAATCCCTTAAATGCTGAATGGTTTTCGTGCCTCCAGTGGAACATTTCCCACAGGAAGGATACCATGCACCAGCATCCTTCTTAGTGAAGCCATGGCCTAATTAATAGGAAAGTATAGTCTTCTTCATAGTTGAGTCTTCTTGGTTGTTGCTTTACAATTTCTGCTTCATAATGAATGAAGCACTGGGTGAGGTAGGTGAGTCAGCCAATAGCACAAAAAGAATAATTCCAAAACTTTTTTTTTTCACTTTGACAACAAAGTCAGAAGACAAATTTGGTGCAGTGACAGACCTTCCCTCCTTTATCTGCATTAATAATAATTTATCTCAGTTGAGGCTGAGAGAGCCTTTTATGATTTGCCAAATCACGAGGCAAAGTGATTTGCCTAGAGTTGATGACATAGCTTAGAAGTTTCTGAAGCAGAATTGAAACTTGGGTCCTTCCCTACTTTGAGTGCAATGCTGTATCCATTATACCAAGCTGCATGTCTGATGTTGCCTGAGTGATAGACCCAAAAATGAACCCATCAGCTTCTAACCACGTTGAATGACTCATGGGCAAGATCAGTGCCATGATCATCACTTGCTATATGCTTTAAGTTGGTAGTGGAAGCGCAAACAAAAATGGGGGCCACTAAGGTTTTTTGTAGGCTGAATATTGACTTTAAAAATCACATATTAACATTATCTATGTTCTGTTGTAATTTTATATATTTTGTTAAATATTTCCCAGTTACATTTTAGTCTGGTTCCAGTACTTGGAGATTGTTGCAGCCTTGTGCTTTAAGCCACACATTCTTAAGTTCTAAGCTTTACTTTGTCCTTTTCTTGCCCAAACTATCAAGCTGAGCCCTACCAGTTTTGTGACTCCAAATAATTTTGCCATCAGTCACTGTTTGTTGTGCCACAGGGCACATAAAGCATTACTCTGGTACTACCCCATGATTCCAAAGATCATTTTAATAACTGCTTTGTCATGAGGTCATATTAATGTCTTAGCACCCTACTCACAGTAATAGTAGTTTGCTGATCTGATTCAATTAAATTTTTAAAAATCAGTATTTATTAAGTGCCCCTCTCTCTTTATTTCTCCCTCCCTGCATGTATTGCTTATTGTCCTGCCCCATAACATTGTAAGTTCCTAGAAAGACTGTTTGTTCCCTCTTTTTCTGTCCCTAGCATACATAGCACAGTACCTGGCACATAGTAAATGTTTATTGACTAATTGACGGGTGTATAATTTCTCTTCAAAAAGATTGTAAGCTTCTTGGAGCCAGGGAGCATATCTTCTATTTTCATATCCCTGTCAAAATTGCTTAGGTCTTTGCATATACTTTGCATTCAGTTAACAGCTTTTTTCAAATCAGGTTGAAAAGACTTGAACCCAGCCCCCTTGGCCCTTAGAGTCTCAGAGAGTGTCACAGAATTTGTGAATGATAAGAACAGCACCTGTGATTGTTAACTGAGAGTGACTTTTATTTATCTCACCTTTTAGGGTATACTCAGCTCTGTGACTGGTGGAGCGTTGGTGTGATCCTCTTTGAAATGCTAGTGGGGCAACCCCCTTTCCTGGCCCCAACTCCCACAGAAACCCAGCTGAAGGTCAGTAAGAAAAGAATGTCATTCTGGTTTATGAGGATATGTAGATCATTTGATCAATTACTTGGTAAACAGGAAAATTTGACCTCTTCTCTCTCCCCTCCGCCCCACATTTCCCGTATGTTTTAGTGGAAGAAATGTGAGTTTTGTAGTATGAAATTATCCCATGCCCCTTGAAAGTAGTAAACGTGGATCAGCAGGAATGGGCCTAAGTTTGGTTTTTTTGTTTTGTTTTTTTTTTTCATGTGATTTATTCTTTCTTAATTTTCATTTTAAACCATCAGTATTCCATCTATCATCTAATTCAAGATGCAGAATGAGACACAATGTTTTGACATGGACACTGTGGGAATTAGATTTATTTAACTGTGCATATTTGTTACAAGGGTTTTTTTGGGGGGGAGGAGTGGAGAGAAAATAATGGTTAATTGGAAAATAAAATGAAAAAAAGAGACTAAAGAGAGAACTAAAAATAAGAAAAGGAACTACTGCCTACAAAGTTACTGTCCTCCAGGAAATGGATTTTTACTGGGAAAAATCATATGCTCAAAGAAAGAAGTTTTTGCATTATTGAATATAGTGGAAGGAACCTCAGAAACCATCTATTCAAGTCTTTTCATCTTACAGAAAGACAACAGGGAGGTTGAAGAGGCTGACCCAGCATCACACAGTGTCAGAGTTCTAAGTTCAAATCTGCAGTCCTGTGACGACAGAGCCAAAGATTAGCACTGACCATGCTACCTTCTTATGGTATTGCCATTTCTAGAGCAGTAGAAGTGCACTCTGTGTTGGTCAGATGAGTTGTCTGTGTTACTTATAATTACTTCAAAAAAAATTTTTAATGTAGCACAAGACATACATTTAGGATGTAGCTAATGTGGGAATTTGTTTTGCTGGACTATATAGATACATATAAATGCGGTATTAGTACATCAAAAGATACATGATTTCATCCATGTGAGTTCCCCTTCCTTTTGTTGAAAGTCTTTCCAAAAACTTCCTATTGCTGTGGCCGAAAAAAAGTGTGCACCTAGTGACCAAATTGTCCAAACTTTTCTGGAATGACTACTCTTTACACAACAAACACAATCTATCACCAGACCTGTATCCAAGACCCTGTCAGCCGGGCCAGCTAGAGCTGTCTGCTTACAGCCCCATTAAGAACCCAGAGTCACCTCAATGCCACTGTGAGGCACTTGGGGACAGATACTCCCAGAGTGGAGGGTGGGGGAATTCAGTGAGTGGTATGATGAACCTGTTTGAGTTCTATTTCTGTCTTTTGGTGTCTAAAATAGTATATATTCCTGTAGAAGGCATTGTGTAGAATTGTTTAAGTCTTTAGCATCAGTCTGTGCCTCTCAGATTGAAGTGATTAGCTGTTTCTTGCTGAGGGCTCTTTCTCACTTGAATTGCTGAACTTGTCAAGAAATGTGCCTGTATATTAATAGGCACCTGAGCATTCTTTGCCATAACACAGAAGACCCATGGCCACTTAACCTTAGCAAATGAAAGGGATTGGTCCCACTCAGAACTTAGCACCAAAATTTTCTTAAAAGGTTTTCTCCCCAATCCTGTGACACTGTGTGACAGCTCTCAGTTCACAAAGAGCCTTCAGTAAAGTTGCATTCATTTCTTAATTTAACAAAAAAGGCAATATAGTGAAAAGAACACCAGACATTAGTGAGAAAGCTTGCGTTTGGGTCCCAGCTCTGACATTATTGGATGTGAGACTGATATTGGGCAAGGCCTTCATTTCCCCATTTGTTAAATGAGGGAGTTGAACTTATTTGGCTATTTAGGTCCCTTCCAGTTTAAAAGTTATGTCTCCCATAAAAATCACCTTTATCCTCATTAAGAAATGAAATGGCTACTCTCTGTTTGCCACCCACAGCTCTCTAAAAGACCCCAGTAAATTATTGTTTTATTAATTGAATACTCCCAGTCCTTAACTGATCTGAGTCTTAGGGACTGGGAATAAAGATTGTATCTGTGATTTCATTGAAATAAGGAACTCCCACTGAGGAATTTCCCTTACTAGTGTGAGTCAGCACCTTCTCTGCAACTGATAATGTAGAGATGCCTTGGACACTGAGGTTAAGTGACTTGCCCAGGGTCACACAGCTGATATGTATTAGAAATGAGATTTGAACTCAAGTTTTCCTGGCTCTTAGACCAGCTCTCTATCCACTACAGTTATGTAAAATAAGCCTACTTTCATTTATTTCATCAAAAGCCAAAGAATTCGTGCTTTTTACCACCTGTTCTACTCCTTCCCCCCAACACACACACACACACACACACACACACACACACGTAGATTTAAGTTTAATAATCCAAAACTCTTCCTATAAAATCACCAGCAACAAAATCCATCACCTGGCAGAACGGTGTTCCTCAGTGTCCTTACTACCCTCTTCCCCCTCTCCCCTATAGCATCTTAGAGAACTTAGTTTCCCATATCTACCTTCTGCCTCTGAGGCAAGAATTTCCATAGTCCCAGTCCTGACCAGCCATTTGACAAATTCTTGCAAGGGAACTGAGAATGTGAATGAAAATCTATCACTTCAATCAATGCAACTGTTGTTTTTTTTTTTTTTTTTAAGGATTGCATGTTTTTGCAAAGTAATTTTTTTTTCCTTTTGAGAAAAATCACATCCCTTAAACACCACCCTTAATTTCCTGCCCATTGGTGGTTCCTCATTATTCGGCATCTGTCTCTTTGGTAGTCTCCTTACAAAATTTCCTTGTGGTTTTGTAGAAAATGAATTCAGCCACCTTGAGAGCAATTCCCGGGGGAGTAAGTACTCTGAAGTCTCCATTAAAGAACCAAGATTTTTGTCTTTGAAAGTTTTGATTATATCAACTCAGTCTTGCTCAAAATAATAATGATAATAATAATAATAATATGAATTGGCTTTGGATCTGATGAGAAATTGAAGGAAAAATTCACATTTTGGTTTTGTCTTCTCTTTCAGGTCATAAACTGGGAAAGTACACTTCACATTCCAACACAAGTCAAGTTGAGCTCTGAGGCCAGTGACCTCATTACCAAGCTTTGCTGTGCTGCTGAGAACCGGCTAGGCAGAAATGGTGCTGATGAGATCAAGGCCCATCCATTCTTCAGCTCCATGGACTTCTCTGGTGACATCCGAAGGCAGCCAGCCCCTTATGTGCCAAAGATCAGTCACCCCATGGACACCTCAAATTTTGATCCTGTAGATGAAGATGGTCCTTGGAATGATGTCAGTGGGGATAGCACTAAGGCCTGGGACACTCTGACTTCTTCCAACAGTAAACACACGGAGCATGCCTTTTATGAGTTTACTTTCAGAAGGTTCTTTGATGACAATGGGTATCCATTTAGATGCCCAAAACCTTCAGGAATTGAAGCCACACAGTTGCAGAACTCAGACATAGAAAACAAAGAGATGGTGGATCAGACTGGAGACTGTCAACCTGTGTATGTGTAAATGATTACATAGCATGCCCCAGACAGTCTGGGTATTTAGATATAAGGAGGGCCTCAAAGCTGATCCTGTAACAGACACGCTTGGAAGTTGAGGTTAATTTTGTTGTAAATAAGTACTTCGATTACTACACTTGAAATTCTGGTCTTCAAAAAAAAAATGCTTTGCAAGTCAAGCAGTTCTTCATTTCTAGACTCTGGTTTGTGTGAGATCAACACCACTCACACAGATAGACATTTAAAGACAATTCACAGCATTAAACAATATTTTTTAAAATTTAGTACAGTTTAGAAAGAGCACTTATATTTTGTTTAAATCAATTTTTTTCCTACTAAATTATAGGGATTAACTTTGACAAATCATGCTGCTGCTGTTATTCCTTTTTCTACATTGGTATTTTAGCCATAGCACTTATTTCACATTTAGGAAAATCATTAAAAACTGAAGAACATGATGGGAAAATCTCTGTGCAATAATGTAAAAAAGGAAAAGAGATAAAGCACTCTGGGCTGATGTTACTATACCTGGTTTTATTCATACCATGGTTTTTTGGTGGGTTTTTTTTTTATCCCTTCCTGTCCTCTCCCCCCCGCCATAGCAGAATTGTGATATCACCTTAAAAAGCGGCTTTTGTTTCCTTTTGCATATTAGTGTGTAATAGAAAGTGTGAGTTGAGTAAGGTGACAAGTTGGGTGTGATTTCAGTGTCTGGTGTGTGAAGAATGTTGCATGAGCAGGGTTTTTTCTGTTCAATAAGTTACCATATCTTGCCATTCACGGGCAGGTCCTGTGAATCTGTTCTTAACAAGTATCTTTAAATGAGGTATTCTAGACAGTGTGTTGATAATGTATTGTGTGGATGATTTCCTTGTTATGATTGTATACATTATTGATTTCTTATTTTTTAAATTTCAAACATCTGAGAATGATTTTGTGTCTGTGATTGGATCATTCTTTGTGGGGGGTAAACTTAAATACCTCCTATCCTTCTAAACTGAGATTGATTAATTAGCAATACCTCTTAAAGGTTAATTATAAAAAAAAATTAATCCTCGTCTGTATCCTGTTCCATTCATGGAATGATTTGTATGTGGTATTCAGTAATTATGACCTTGTTAATTAATATTTTCTGTTAACGTTACACACACTGAAAAGATTTAAAAGTGTGTTCTCCTTTTGTCTCAGACAGTTGAGGTGTTGCCCTGATGGAACACAGTCCTCTCTTTCTAACAGATACTATTGGTCTTCTTTAAAGTGTCAAATCTTAAC